TCGTTTAAATGCACGCATGATTGTCGTTAGCAAGCGATCCTTTGCAAATATGAATGAATTGTATCTTTTATTTTAAATATTTGTATTTTCTACCTAGGTAAAATTTTTAATTTCCAAAACATGTTATTAAGAAGAATTAAAATATTAATAACCTTGGGCTAAAAAATAATAACCAAACATTAAGTTACAATGAAAATTTTGTTTTAAATATTAATTGCATTGTGCATTTACGGAAAATTTGTTATTAAAATACATCAAAAAAAAAAAAATTAAATTATATAAAATATAATATATATAAAAATAAATATATAAATTGAAATCATAAAAATAAATATAAATATATAAATTAAAATTATAAATTAAATGTCATCATTTTTCGTAAGGAAATTACGCATAGCAGCCGCTGTCGACACTTCAGCGATTGCTTTAATACTGATGAGTGCACAAATTTTGCATTGTTTGCTGGAGGCGTGTTTAAAAAATTGTTGGTAAATTTAATGTGTAATGGAGAGAGAAGACTTCGTGTGTTTGTCAACGCGCGTTGATGTCTAAAGGCCACTTAAGTTGCAAGGTTGTGAAATGAACCCTTCGGTAAGTGTACGTGTGTTGCAAATGAGCTTATTGCAGTCTGCACAGTTCCTTTCTTGATTTCCTTCGGTGAGGGTCGCATATTGTTTTCATTAGAACGGTGATTGAGCTCGTGTGCGGGTCTATTTGACGTTAGTGGGTGTACAAAAGACTTTGTAGAGGAAACCTTTGATTTCACAAATCAATTCAAAGCGGATGTTACTAATAATTGGGTACACGTTTTTAGTGTTTTTTTATTTAAAAGATCAACAAATTTGATTAAAGTGTTAAATGTCGATTTATTGCACGTGTAATGTATCAACAATAATTTCGTTCCTTCGTAATGAAATTAATGAGGGGCATAAATTAAGATAATAATTTTGTGATAAACGATTTAAAATAGTTAGTGATATTTCTATTGTAATAGCAATATATAAAAGGATTAAATCGTTAAAACGTTTTAAAACCAAAAGGTAATTATATTTCTTACTGATATCACTTAAAAGACAATCTTGCTTTGGAATACTCGTAATATTGAAAGAGATATAATGTTTTGATTCAAATATTAAGTTCAATGATATCATAATAAATAATAATTTAAGTATATGATTTATCATGGTTATTGTGGAATGAAAATATGAACAGTGATAACATTAATAACTTTTTACATCAACTATTATTTGACAGATACTAAGTGGATCCTGTAAAAGTATTATTGATTTTCTATAATTGATTTCTATATTATTGATTTCTATAACTCCGTTCAACTTTGTTGGGTGCTTTAAAAATTTATAATTATTTTTTTGTACAGTGAAGTTGTGAATCCTTGGAATTAATTATACTCTCATCTTATTTAATGGAAGTTTTTGTAACTGACACTGTCCAGTTTTTTAAGTTTGAATCTGTCATAATAAAATACGACTCTGTGATATATATTAAATTTTGATCATAAGTGTTTGGACTGAGGTAGTTTTTTGAAACTCGAGTTGGTTTCTTCTACGAACGTTGTTATTTATCAATATTTTCTTTTTTTGCATTAAAGTGTTATTTTTACAGATTGATCCATATTTGTTAATTAATATAAAATACAAAAGATCTACATAATGGAATACGTTCTCATCTGATTGTTCTGAGAATTGATTTGAATTCGCTTAATTACATTTGGAAAATATTTCATAATGATTAATTCATGAGTAATTAAACCGTGAGTTGATTGAGCCAAACATTATTCAAACTCTTTTTGATAGGTTTGAGTGCTAAAATCACTATATTCCAGACATTAAGAATTATTAAAATACTAAATAATTAAAGTTTGAAGAACTCCGAAGAAAACTGATGTCATAGTATTAGTTAGACTTTTTGTTTTTGTAATAACCACCCGTCGCAAACTATGGAATATTACTGGTTAAATTAACTGTCGTTATTACTGAGAAGCGACTCCATTCTCAAAAGAAAATACAGTCAAACTTCCATAACTCGAAGTCCAATTTTACAAAGAAAAGGTTCGACTAATGGAAACTTCGAGTTAGGGAATTATTTTATTGTTTTTTTTTCATTTTTGAAAGAAACTAGAATTATATTTTAAGATATTTATTTATTTATTTAAAATCAAATATAGTTCAGAAGTTATAGTGAAGTAAAATAATTAGAAATTAGTTTTGGGATTTTAATTTTTTTTTGTTATTATTAGTAGAAATACATTCCATTTTATTTAAAGCCTTATAGTGATCATCAGTTGTAGTATCATTCGTTCGCAAATATAAATTCAAAATAGGCTGATAAACAATAATATCCACGGAAACCTCAGTATCACTTTCCGTTGCGCTTAGAATTGGATCAAGTAATTTAGAGCTATATAGTGCTCAATAATATCCTCATCTGTAGGAAAGCTTGATATACAAATTTCATTGGCAAGTTCAATATAATCGTTAACAGTAGCATTGGAAGTTATTTTATTTACTTTAAACCACACTGTCAGCGACTGGCATTTGCACAAAGAAGCAACATAAAAAAGAAAAAAATTAAACATTTGGTTTGGAAAAATGGACTTCCCCTAACAGCAAAATGCATTTATACTTCGATTATACTAAAATTCGATTTATAGAATGCACTTTCCTCATGTTTCTATCGGTACGGGAAAAAATTTTTGTTTGAGTTATGTTATAGAGAAATTCGAGTTATAGAAGTTCGAGTTATGGATGCAAAATTGTATGTAGTTTGCTCTCTAAAACCTTGGCATACTGTTTTTGGTTGGAGGTATAGAAAATTCGAGTTATAGAAGTTCAAGTTATGGAATTTTGACTGTAGTTTTATGACACCACATATCGTTTTCCAGTTCATCTGTCCCTTTATTTAAACTTAACAAATTACATGTCAAATTGATTTACATTAATAATCTTAATAAGAGATTAAACATTAAAATTACTATAATAAATATAATAAACAATAATAAATATTCTTCTATTTAAGCGTGATATCCACTATCAATAGGTAATTTGAATATTTTGATGCAATGCAATCATAAGAGGTCTTAAATATTTTGGAGCATTTTTGGAAAGTGTACACATGAGTTAAGAGAAGAGAAGAATTTATGTAAACAAATAAGTTAAGAAGAGAATATAACGAAAATTATTAGAGACGGTCCTACCAATACAATATAACTGAACATTATTTTTACTATTTAAGTAATCATTACTAAAAATCATCTTCTAAAAATAAGTACTCTGCGTTTCTTGTAAACATAATTATATCTTGTAAAACACATAAGCCATTCATTATTCACATTGAAGAAGAACCGAACACACGTCTTTAGAACTTTCTGGGTTATTGTAAGAATATCAACATTCAATTATATCTATACATATTTATATATGAGGGCGGTTTGATAAGTCAGTGACTTTTTGAATAAAAGAAATTTTTTTCGGTAAATAAACTTTTTATTTTTCTACATAATCACCTTTTAGATCGATACATTTAGTCCAGCGTTTTTCTAATTTTCTTATCCCCTTCAAATAATAGGTTTTCTTAAAGCTCTCAAAATACGCTAATGGTAATGACTTCTTCTTCTTCTTCTCAAAATACGGTAATGACTTCTTCATGTGATTCAAATCTCTTACCGCCCAGCCATTTCTTTAGGTTTGGAAACAGAAAATAGGCGCAGGGGGCTAAATCTGAAGAATATGCTGAATGGATACTGAAAAAACGCCAATGTCAAAACTGGTTAACATAATTTTGTTCCAGAACTTTTGATATGTAGAATACCCTTTCGATGACCAGTGAAACTAAGGATACCAAATAACACTTCGTGTGATCGTTGATAGATTGTTTTTATTGATTTGTTTTTAATAATCATATAAAACGCTTTGGTTTAATTTCAAAATTTCGCATGTGGGATCGATATCTTGTAACAGAAAAAAAAATTGAAAAAAAGTATGTATATATGTGTATAACTTCTTTCAAATTTATGCACAACATAACATACATTTTCGTGATACCCGAAAGTGCTGATTTTTGTATATAATATAGGTCTTATGGAATTTTAAGAGAATCTTCTAGATTATGTACAAGACAATATTATAATCAATTTTTAAGTGTACTGCCATGAACTACACAAATTAAATAATTTAACCAAATGAAAAAAAGGGTAGTGTTTCTCCAAGACAATGCGAAATCTCGAAAAATTTTGATAGACATCATTTCTCACATTTGCTACCTTTGAATTACCATTATCATCTTTGCTTTTAATAAGAATGATTTGTCAAGAATAATAGGTTGGCTTTTTAATATCTATTTAATGATGTTAATTTCTCTATTTATTAATATATATAATTTAAAGGATTAGTTTTTATTATATATTAAAAAGTAAAGAGATGGACTCCGTTAAATAGATTATCAGGAGTTCATTTTATAGATTCTTCGAATTAATCAGTACAAACTTTGTGCAGCACTGTTGATGAAATAGGTAGAAGTGTTCGTAAAAACTTTATACCAAATGATTGGATTTTACACTGAAAATAATTGCAACTATAGTTGATAACTATATAAATATATTGTTACACAATTATATTTATAGATAGATAGATGATAGATGTTATATCTAACGCTTTTATATTGTTCAAAATAACATGTTTGTATAATATGTTTGTATGTTATATGTTTGTTGTCTATAATATCTACATAAATGTTAGATTAATCTGAGATATAATGTTAGATAATAGTTTTCCTATTAATTATTCTGAGTTACGTTTTTGCCACTCATTTCGAAATAAACTTTATCTTTGATGTTTAACATATTTATCACTGTAATAATATTGATAAAGAAATACAATAAATTATGATATTAAATGATATATAAAATTGATAAAAGATTAAAACTAAATTGATTAATTATTGTTTTTTGTGTTTTTTTTCAGTCATATTTTAGTCTACAAAAGTCAATTTTAAGGATCAATATCAAATAAATATTGTAAGGGCGTTACAGAGACTTCTTCAAAAGACCATTGTGTTTATTGTTATTGTAGCACGTGCACGACACACGCCTCGGTAAACGGTGGCGACAAGTGTGAAGGCTTCACACTCACAGATTAATAAAATGTTAACTAGCAATTAATTGTTTGCAAACAGTGTTTGATAAAAACTAACAAAAATTATAGGTCATACTTCGGTAGTTTTGGAAAATATCACTATTAAGATGTTTTCCATGGATAATTTTGATTTGGAGTCAACTATGGCTAGACACTTCTTTGAAGGATCACAAGCTACTAATGGTTCGACATCAAGTTCTGAATTTTTTTTCGGTGATGAAAATAGTTCAGAAAGCGATGAAGATGATGCATATAGCAGTGGATTTAATAGTGATCAGGAGAACAACGAAAAGACGTGAGTAATTATTAAATAATAATTTTAAAATTTTATATTTAGTTATTTACATTAAGAATTTTTTAAGTTTATGAAATGAGAGAGCCGAAGTCAAGTTAAAAAGTCTTTTTTTGGATTGTACTTATAATTTGTAGTTCATTTCAGTCAAGACAATAAGCTCTATATTTTGACTAGGTTCACAAAAGAAACGGTTGATAGTAGGAATACAAAAAAATCATCAAAACGGAACTTGTTAATTAAATGAAAGTCAGATAAACATATTAAAATCAATTGATATTAAACTCTGTATTGTACAAGTGTTCAAGTATCACTTTTTTTAATCTTTGTTTTGAAATATATTAGTTAAAAAAACTCTTCAAACAGAGTTATTTAGAAGTAGATACTTTTATTTCGAATCTATCAATCCTACACTTCCAATGAGTATTACCTTATTCATGTTAGTCAACTCAACTTCAATCTAATTTAGATATAATATAGGTACCACTCTATAGTATGAATAGGTTTATTTATTCTTCTGATGTAAGTCAGTTACGTCAGTTCTTCTTTTTTATACCTAAATGTGGAGGACATACCTAAAGTATGATTTCCAACTGCATATATATTTTAAAGACTTTACGGCTGGATTGACAGGATTCTTATTCTCTCACTAAATATAATGTGAAATCAGTGGGAGTACAAGACTGTATATGATCGAAGGCGCTTTCGCCTAACGCCACTGAATAGAGTTGAGTTCATGTATGTTAGGCTGAGTACGCCATTGATCAGTAAGAACAATTTCGAGATAGAGCTTTATTGAATGTAAAGTTTAAGTTTTGTTGATAAGTTGAGGTACGAGCTTAGTTGTTATTTTAGAGGATAATTTGTTAATCTGCACAACTTAAAATTAAGTAATAATAAAGTATAATGGATGAAAACCTATGAGAGTGTGTTAAAATTGAGCTTAAAATTCAGTTGCTGATTTAACAGAATAATATGTTAATCTATATCACTTAAAATCAAGTTATAGGGGACTATGGGAGCGAATCAAGTGTACCCAAAAAATCATATCATTTTTCAAATCATATATAGATCCTGGAAATAGTTAGGGATTCAGGAATAAATTAAATGAAGATATTTTTTCAATATAAAATATCAATACTAATAAATTGTCTTTGCATATCCACTCTAGACTTCTTCCATACTTAGTCTTTCACTAAAATTAAATTATGCTTACATTTTTTTTTTATATTATTTTAATACGGATCTATGACAGAAACTATCAAAGATCTTCTCTGCTTTTGTTCAGTGCATAGCATATTAGGTTATCAAATGGAAGATATCTTATGTATTATGTATTGTGATACCACAAGAAAATGGTTTAACCAGCGGTGATATTTATATTAGAAGTTCCATCGGGATTATAAGGTATTGTAATGGGTGATTTAGCTTAAATGTGACGGTTTCCAAATAAAAGAATCTTTCAACCAAATACCCACCTATCTACCAAATATAGTTCCAATTTAAAATTAAATTGATTTATTTGATTTTTTGTTAAAACAAAAGATGTGATAATGAAAATTTAAACAAGTTTAAAAATTATTTTTAATTTTTTAGTCGAATTCATAAACCACGACGCTTAAAATGTGCCTCCCAAATGGCACAACAGCGGCAAGCGGCCAATTTACGAGAACGTCGTCGTATGCAAAGCATAAATGAAGCTTTTGAAGGACTCCGTTCACATATACCAACTTTACCTTACGAGAAGCGACTTAGTAAGGTAGATACATTAAAGTTGGCGATAAGTTACATCACATTTTTAAGTGAAATGGTGAAAAAGGATAAAAATGGTAATGAACCAGGATTGAGTTTACAAAGAAATTATCAAAAGGAACCACCGAAAAAAATTATATTAAAAGATCGAAGTAAGTATAAATCTATAAAACATTACAACGTATATATAATATCATGTGTAGTCAGATTAAATAGGATTTAGTTTACTAATCTAATATAATTTCAATACAGTTTATATATTACTGTTCTCTCTTTGTTATCAAGTTAGATACACATATAATCTAATCAATCAAGTTGGTGGTAGTAAAACCGATACGTAGAGTGAATTAGAATTTAATATACTTTTACTGAATTTACAAAGGCATACTTTAATTAAATTGAACATATCTCTATAACTGCGATATTATGAAATATTATTCCATACATAATGAAGAAAAAATGATGAACAGCTCGCATGTTGCGCTTGCGTGCTAATGTTATAATTCAATAAACGTTTAGGTTCATATGTAAATTTAATTAAGGAATTATATGAGAAATCATTGAAAAGTGCACAATCGATTTAAAAACCTTAACGCTTGCATGAAAGGATCACAAATTCACCACCAACATCAGGCATTAGGATGTAAGGGAATAAATATGTTGCACTCAAACCCGGCAATGATACCTTTTTCCCCTTTCCCTATTATGCATTCGAAGCATCCTTTGCATTATTCAACTAATGATTTTCTGCGGTTCCACATACATAGGAGTATACATATGTGCCTGTCTAGCTGTCTGTAACAAATTAAAATTTTCACACTTTTCTTCTAATACCGAAGGATTGGCAGCAGTGAAGCAAAATTTCTGCCGCTGCAGTCTGATAATGCTAATAAAAATATAGTTTTTAGTCACGGTTTTTTGGTTAATAATTTTTCCATTCAAATTAAATGACGAAGCACCCAGCACTTTTCGTGATCCTTTCAGTTATAGTACAAACGTTTTACGGACATTATTTTGAGAGGGGATTTTTTCAAACTGTTTTCAACCTTCAGTTCAACCAAACAGTTTTTTTATACATACATTATAGTTAGTTTCTATGAATATTTTCATTTTTGGTTTTTTTTTTATAATCTACATAAAAAAATTAAATGTCATAACAAAAATAAATTTAACAATTAAACCCTTCCAAGTATCTCATGGTTTTACAAACCTTTCACAATATAGTGACTCATTTTTTTATATTAATTAAATTGATCTTTGTAACAAAGATATAGAGAGCACCAATATTTTCTCTCATATTTGATCTTCACTTAGATAGATCCATTTTTGATCATTCCTCATCTTTATCTCCATATATATCGTAAATATATCTGTACAACTGAGTGTTTTCGATTTAAATCTATCCGCTTATCTATATGTATGTAGCCTATTCCTATGTCTATCAGTATGTTGATAATCTACACGTTAATAAATGGAGTAAGTCCTGTGCTTTTTATTAGTCCAGTCGGATGAAGTAAACAAATTGATCGAACATATATGGTGTAATTGTATTATTTGTTTAGAATGAATCATAATTGCATAATTTCATAGATTTTTTTAAAGAAAACCACAAAATAATAATTATAATAAAATTATAATTATTATTTTTATAGACCTCTTTGATATAATGAATGTAATAATTATAATTTATTCATAAAAGATGTATTAAGAAACATAGACCTTTAATATAATGAAAACGCCTTAAATAAAACGACTGCACTTTGATACAGTTATCTCTATAACTATAGTATTTTGAAAAAATAAACAACATCTTCAGACATATCTAATTAGTTTCCTTTACGTGAGCTAAAATATTTAGAGCTCATAAACGATACACTGGAAAACAGTTTTATTACAACTATAGAACTGTCTAACGATTAAACCGTTGAAAACAATTCATTAACGATCGAAAATGAAGATAAAGTTGCTCTACAGTTTGCAATCTAAAATCTGAAAGATTCCAATGACTGTGAGTCATTCACAGGTTGCGCAAATCAAACTTTTGAATTGTTAATCGTATTTTTGAATAGATTTTACAAAGTAGTCGTTACAGAGGTGATCTCACCAAAAAGTTGAGTAAGCGTTATGGAAGTCTAATTTTATATTCGTATATTTTATATATGAAATCATTTTTACCCCAGACAGAATATGATTTCAATGAATTGTGAAGGTTTTGTGCTTTACTAGGTGCTGATTATAGAAGGAAAGGATAGAAGAAACGAAACTTTTTACTAGGATAGAAGAAACGAAAAAGTAACAAAAAAAATATATTGCAAAGTACAAGTACAACTTAATGTTAAGTAAATAGTATCTATATAGTCAAACTAAAATTGTAAAATAGAGTGATCTTGAGATAGACACATTCAGTTGTCTATTAATCATAATTAGTTTATCAATTATTGAATTTTTGAGAATTTTATAATGTAACATACGGTTATACAGTAGTGCGTACCTATATCATTCAAATGTTTAAAATGTTGATCTATATAAATATTTTGTACTATGACTTATTTATGCTATGATCAAAAATTTTCAACTAAGGAACTTTATGATTTTACAAAGAGTTTTCAGTTAGTTCTACGAAGAGTTTATTCTCTCACTTTGCTGAAGGATATGCCAGTTTCCCTGTGAATCGTCCTTCTTCCAGAATAAGTTCTCAGTCAAACTCCTTTTATTATTCTGCTGGGAGTTTCATTTCAGATTTAAGTAGAGTGTGATGCAACTAATCCTTTTTTCGTTAGTCATCTGTTTGCTGATTGGATGTTGGATAGGTTTGAATGGATGATTGGATGCCCATAGGTGTTCATGAAATATTTTGAACTTTGAAGAACTTAAAAAATTTTAGTTAAAAGAAATATAAGTTCTGTGGTGATTTTTTTATTGATTTGATTTATTAAAAACATATTGAAACTATTCAAGTTGAAAACATGTATAAAATAAACCAATTACTATACCTATCTTATGAATCTGTTTATGTGTGTGCGTATGACTTTTGCATTATTTCAACAATTTTGTTTGAATGCGAAAAGTAAATAAACCCCAAAAATAAATATTTGCTAACAATTTTAAAGAGAGAACATTACCTAACAATAAGCAAATCAAGAAAGGGTTCATCAGCGGTAATATTTCCCGCCCAGACAATCAAAAGACCAAAATAAAGGCATCTTTACAGCCGCAAAAATCTTCTCGTTGACAAACTATATTTACAACAACAACAACGACAACAACAACAGCGACAACAATTTACAATCCATTAGTAGCAACATTACAAACCCATTAAATGCCTGAGCCAACAACCTTATCCCAAGGAATACACATTATACATTGAAGAGGGTGCAACGATGATAGTACGAGTACGAGTAGTTGGCAATGTTTTCGCAGCTGCATACTGTGATAGATATTCCTGACCGTTGTTGTTGATGTTGTTGTTGTTATCATTATAAAATAAACAATTTTTCTTATATCCTATTTTTCTATTGCCTTTTTGCACATTAGACAAGGACATCACGAAGGATTTGTTTTTGACGAAAATGAGAGGGGATAAAGTACAAACTGCTTCCAATCAAATAAAGTAACTTTTTTGATCCTCCTTGTGTGTATGTTTGTGTAAACTCAGTGTACGTAGAATAGTGAATTCGAACTGTTGGTCGAATTGGGTGAGGGGTTTGTTCTGCAATTTGTAGTCATCAACATTTTCAATGGTTATGCGGGTGTTGAAATTCATTCAAGTGCTGCGTAACCCACCAATCCAACAAACCTAGCATCCAATACGGTTTATTACAGCTAATTCAATATACTCGTACTCCAGATGAAGTGTTGTAGCTTAACTCCATTAAGCTTCTTCCTTCCTGTCAGCGCATCTCTTAAAGTTTTTGGTGTGAAAATTTGCAAGGCGTGCGCTTACAAGTAAATTTTTGAGATCCTTGGGCTTGAGGACGAAAAATTGCGTGTTTTGGATTGCGATTTGTTACTCATTTGTAGCGGTTTTCGTATCTTTGCAACGATTGTTTAATGTTTTTAAGCATGAAAATGTTTTTATTTACCTACAATTTGCTCAGTGTATTTTCGCTCGTGCTCTAGCCTAGGCACATCTGCTTAAGTGTAGCGAATTTCACACGATGTGATTATGTCGATTCTATTTTATTGTTCCTATTATTGTCTTTTTATTGTTTTTATTGTTTCATTGTTTTTTAAACTTTATTATCGCTCTTGTTTTTGTTATTTGTAACGTTGCAATTTCAGATTTTGATAAATTGATTGGCACTTTAATTTTTGCTTTACATGCAATTTGAATTTAATTTTAGCTAAGAAGGAAGAACTATTTAAGGCAGGTTGAGAGTAATGAAACGTCTTCTCATTGAAGAATTTGGTATGATCTTTGCCTTTGCCTTCAAACCTTATTAAAAGCATAGAATTATTGAGAAATACCGCAAACAGCTCTTCTTGAAGTTTTATCGTTCAGAAAGAAGGCAAAGGAAGAGGTTTTTTCTAGGAACGAGAAAAATATCAACATTACAAACAGCCACAATAACAATACCTCCTAGCCTAATTTATGGTATAATAGTTGAGAATAAAAATTCTTATGGTTATAATAATAATAAATTATTATTACTATTTAGAAAATTACAACAAAATTTTTATTTCCAAACCATTGAATTCTTCGCTGGTCATACAGTATTTACAGTATAGTCAAATAGGCATCATCAATATGGAAAGGCATGTGCTCAAATATTGTTCTAGTTAAACACTAGAAATATTTTCAAAAACTACTGATAATGGCCATTTGACAATACTGGAAACTGTTGTAAGGTCATTAAAAATTCAATGATATAAAAATGAAAAAATTTGGAGTTACAATTTTATTAAATCTTACATTTTCCATATTCATTTTTCAGTTACATTCTTATAAAAAAAAGTTGTATGTAATCATAAATAGATGCCTTCTTTAATTTTTTTTGTTCTATTGATTGCTCTCCATTTAATATAGCACGTAAGCAAAGAAATGACTCATAATCAAATCTCATTCACTTTCGAAATATTTTCCAAATTATTTTCATTAAATCAATATTTTCCTTGATTAATACCAATAACATAAGTATACGTTCTTGAACTGTGTTATATACTTCAACTTCTACTAAATATTAAAGATTTTCACTATTTCTGAACTTTAGGTTGGATATAGCAGCGTATATAACAGTAGGATATAGGCATCCAATATATATAAAACCAAAATGGATACATAGGATTTATTGACTTTATTTCGGTCAATCCTTAAGAAATAATCAAGGTTTACTCATAAAACGAATGGCAAACAGGCAGGCGGACAGAAAAACATGACTAAATGAACTCAACTCGTCCAGTTGATCAAGAATTTATATACTTTATATGGTATCTGACATTTCCTTCAATGTGTACCAAAAGCTTGACAAACCTATATAACCTTTTTATACTATTTTGTTTAAAGGCTATAAATATATGGTCCAAAAGATAAGAAAAACAGTTAAGATTAAAAGCCAGTACTTAACAAAAAAATAGTTATTATTTGGATGGTGTGCATTTTTAGGTTAATCTAATAGGTGGATATCCAGTATTCTGGTAAAAAGAAAAAAATTGTAAATATATGAATAATTTTATCACAGTTTGCTTAATATACACCTTGTCCACTGAATTAAATTTAGAAGAAGAAAGGAAATGTGAAATATATTTTGCCTTTAAATCATTATCGCCAGTTGCCAATAATCCTTATACCGGCGCTGACACCACTTGAATTATTGTGAACATGAGTGAAAATAAGAAAATTTTCCATTAGTAAAAAATTACATATTTTTATTAAAAGTAAAATTTATTTTTATAGAAATTGTGTTGTACTTTATTATTTGCAATAATTTTAAATTTTAATCGAGCTCAAAGACAGAAGGTAATAATTCTAAAAAAGTGATAATTCAATTTAAACATAAATTTTTTAACCACCCAAACTCTCTGCTTCATATACCAACATATATCCATCATCAGTGGTCTGGCTGTTATCAGAATATAAATTTAGGAATGTGTCAGAAATTGAACCATGTAAATTTGAACCCTGAACCGCTGTGTGGGCACACAAAGCTAATGTACACTAAATTTACATTAGTCAAATTTAAAGTTTTATAGATTTTTGCACTTGTTGTGCTAATAATTAGAACTAACGTATAAACAACAGTTATATAAATTAACTTTATCATTGTAAATCATAATTTTTTCCAACTTTAAAATTATTGTTTGTAGAATAATTTCTAATAAAAAAATAAGAATATACTGTTATATTATAATACGTTATATATGTTATATATCCTATCCCCCCGTATAATTATTAAAACATTTTAAAATTCATTAAAGACCATTGTATTTATTATATATATTCCGTTTATTGTTTTAATTTTAGCTGGCGGCTATTCACATTCATTATCTTGGTATCGCAAAGGTGATCGATATCCGGGAAGTAAGCTATATGCACGCACATGGACTCCTGAGGACCCTAGATCACAACCCACTAGTGGTCAATTGCATCTGCAGCAACTACACAATCATAATCAACAAAATATACAACAGCAACTGCATGTTGAACAACAGCACTCTCATCATCATCACATTTCGAATGGACACATTAATATGGACTCAAATCCATTTCATAATAACAATAGCAATCAAAGTGATGAGTCTGGCACGTTTATGGGTGAAAATATGGGGGATACAAATAGCGCCGCTGGCGGTGGCTCATATCATCAAAATGGTTTATAAGTGCTGAAATGGCATGGAGTTGATGAGCAAAATATTTGCAGATTTGGATAAGATTCAAAAATTAGGTGCTTTTAAAATAATATTCGCAGTAGTGTTGAACACAGAGCACATTTTGCGTAAGGATGAGTCAAATGAAACCTTTCTAGTCATTTTATGAATCTTAGAAATCGATTCAAATCAAGAAAAAAAAAATTACTAAATCATTCTGTGGTATTTTTAATTTAAGATTTTTATTAATTTATTTATAATTCGCTTTGAATGCTAGCTGAACAATAAGCTAAATTATTTCTTAAATAAAATTATAAATGAAATTAAAAAAAGTTTGTATTAATAACGTTTTGTGTGAATTAATAATATGTTTAAAAAGCATCGGGAATAGGTAATTTATAATGTTAAACTTTACTTTGGTACGATTTTTTAGGTTTAGACATATATTCAAAATTTCAATCTGAAAATGGATCACTGCTTTCGTCATCATATTCATACATCCACATCTTGCCATTTGGTATTCGAATTAATGCTTTGCCCAGGTATTAGTACTCATAATGGATGATACCCTCGCAGCCTTATAATAAGCTCAGCATCTTATTGTTGTATAGATTTTAATATAACGTATAAACCTAAATTATTTTGGACAAGGTTCGGCTTTATACGTCACTATATTCGCAGCCATTTCTAATACAATCATATCATCACTTTTGAAATATGTGTTTTTCCATATTTTGTATAAATCTTCCACTTCTATTCACATAGAATCTAGAAAAAGTAGAAGCAATATATTTCATATGGGGAGCGATGTAAATATCAATTCGCATTGTTTTGGAATAGTTTTTATCGAATATTGTTGTTGTGCATTAAATTGTTAAAATAACACCTCCTTCTTCGTTATTTTTGGCTTTTTTTGCAATTTATTCTTTCAAGTATTATTATATGTATTATTCGCATTCTAAAATTCAGTTTCTCTATACCCATATATGATTACTAATTTTCTCATTTTCTCAGTCATCTTAATTAAAGTATTTAACTTAAATTAGTAACTTCAGTAGGTTTTTTAGGTCGATTTTAAGGTAGCTCTTCTAATTCTTCCATGGAATTTATATTTTTGGGAAACACCAGAACAATAACATATTAAGTACTCAGTCGCTCTTATATTATTATCTTCTCCCTAGAAATTTTGACTGGATGCACCTAGAGCAAACGGTTGACATTACTCTTTGTTAAATTAAAGAGACACTCTCCGTCTGTTGTATAATCAGCTAGCTAGCTAATATGCCACAGGTCTATCTGAAAAAAAAACATTAAATAAATTTTGTGGTTTTTACAAGACTTCTAAAGTAGAGAACTGATATACCTAAATCAGATATCATTGTTCTTTTTATAAGAGTAGTGCCGCATCTATTTTCAAAAGGTTTTAAAATTGTCCGTGTATAAGTTTTTATTTAATTGGTTCAAAAGGAAACAGACGGATTTTCAGACTGACAGGCAAAGAAATACATAAATGCCTGTTACTATTATAATAAAGTTTGAAATTCTGATTTCCTTCAAAACATTTTCTGCATCACGAAACAATTTAAATAATTATTGTGTTAAAAGTGTTAAAAGTGCTAAAAGAAATGTTTAAAAATATTTAAACTTTTTGAAGAGATAAAATATTTTTTATTTACCCGTATTATAGGAAATATTGTAATTAATTTTTTTTTGTCATTTTGATAAAGTGTTAGTTCACTAAAAGATTTGCCCGATTGTCTTTTAATTGTCCTTCTCCATGTAGTCTTTGGTCGACCGCGATTTTTTCTTTCTTGTGGATTCCATTCTAGAGCGATAATAATGCTTTGTCGTCCATAAAAACATATATTCTGTTTAAAGAATAAATAAATTGTTTAATATATGATACACAAATAAAGTCTTCTATATAAATCGTTCCAACATATACTTGATCACATACGTCATACGTCTTCTATATAATCAATTGAAAATGTGAAGTCTAGAAGTCTGGTTTTTGTTGTTGTAATAAAATATATCAATATTAACAAAAAAATACACACTTTAATGAAATCGAATATTATTGTTATTTTTTGTCATTTGATTAAGTAGTTAAATGAATTTTGAGTTTATTCGAAGAACTACTCAGGTTCTTACAAAAAACCATCCTAACTTTGTTAAAGAAAATAGCACTACTTGAGAGATTATTATTATTATTAAATATTTATTGTACGCCTAATGCTCCAACTAAAACAATTCTGGCTATTTAAAAATCTCGTGATTGCTGTGGGCTTGATTTTACCTATTTGATTTGGGACTAAGATCCCGCTTCCAAGATAGTCGTGCCTACGTGTTGCCGCCGCTGGGTAGTTGCATAGGTTATGTTCTCTTCATGACAGAGTCAATAGGAATCACTTTCTACCGCAACTATAATCTTCATGTGGTAATTAAGTCTACAGTGTCCTGTAAGAAGTTCAGTGTAGGTTTTAATATCGTTTCTGCTAAGGCCAAAGATAACATCAACTTTGATGTGTTCAGGATCACTGAATCTTCTTGACTGCAGCATACCTGTTTGGGCTCTCCAGTGTTCAAGTAGATTTTGTTTCTCCTGTTCACATAATAAGTTATTTCAGAAGCTATTTGTTGTCCCGCAGAAGGAGTCTGGACCTATGAAAGGAATACATGCACCCTTATTTCCCAGGGAGTCTGCTATTTCTTTGCCCTTCATGTCCCGGTACTCAGATAAGAGTAATATAGTTCCTCGATGCTAGGGTATTGAGAGATTCTCTGGATATCCATGGTTGAATGGATAGGGTCCGTTAATGATAATGCTTTGCTGTCCACAAAAAATCGTATTTTGTTCAAAGGATCAATAAATTGTGTAATATTTGGAATACAAATGAAGTCTTCGATATAATCAATCGAAAATTTGAAGTCCAGAACCAATAATAAGTTGTAAATATTATACACCCAAAAAACACGCTTTAACGAAATCAAACATTATTATTATTTTTCTATTGAGTAATGGTAAATGCTTTCATAGGTATGAGTATGATTTGTATGTAAATGTAATCGAATGTAATACATAAATACTCATACTTATTTATGTGTTTTATATTTGTTGATATTTAAAAAATAATCATAAATAATAATTGTTGCACTTGTAACAATAAAAGTAACACAAACCCCACAAATGTCAACGAGGGTTAAAAATATGTCGGTAACATAAATGTACTTATAATCGCGAGCCGTTTGCGAGTTCTTATCAGAATTGGAAAGAAATATGTATTGAACACCTGGATTTGTCATCCCTTCCGGTGAAACAATAAAAAAATAATAACACAGACAAAAAATAATAATGTTGTAAAATAGAAAACAGATATGGAAAAAACAGATAAAAACAATCCATACGAGGGGGTGGAAAGACTCTCTCGTACTTTTCAAGGCAAAAATAAAATTAAAACAAATTGACCCTTTGCACTATAAAACTAGAAAATTATTTCCGCTCTTCCGACGGAGGACCCGTTAACCATTTCATTGGCGTAACTTCGTAACTTACACGCGAGCCAATATCTATTGTATTTGAATTTACTTTTTCATATTTAATAATTATGTTATTTTAATATATAATTTTTTTTTGTTATTTAAAATTTAATTGTAATTATTTATAAAATTTTTATCAACAAAATTAATTAATCCAAAACATAGGATATGAAACAGAATTTCTGCGATTGTGTCCTTTCAAATGATATTACGATCCTTTAATTATTTTTTCTCTTTGGTTAATTTTGATCCTTATCAGAAATTTAGCTTACAGCGCAACCACATTTTCTATCCGCAATTTAATTTGTTTATAACGTAACTTCGTTAAATTTATTTTCTCTTCCAGTGGTTGTTTGACTCAAATATTATCTGATGGTTTTTGAATTGATAAAACAATTTAATAAACACGGAATATCCTTGTATAAGCAGAAAGTAAATTATTTTTCAATAGACGAACAATGATTCTCTGTTGATTCAGATACCCTTCAGTATACGGTACATACATACAAATTTTTATCTGAGATTACTTCACTTTGATAAGATTCAACGATTTTATTAATATGATTTAATGTAGGCAGCTGTACCGAATTGACACCAAATAATGCCAATTATTCAGTTGTTCTCTGATATTGAAAATTCCATGTATATGAGCAAAATTAAAGTGTGTCGTTCAGACTAGATCTTAGTCAATTTTAAGAAGGCTTAGTTTATTAAGTGTTCAAACAGCTTTAGGCTAGGTTATACCGACGATTCTTAGTGGACTCACTTAAACCTATTGGCCTATTGTGTTACTGTATATGAAGAAAAACTAAGGATATAAAACCACCCAGATTATTTGGCGAAGCCTAAAATGCTAAGTGTCAGGTCTTGTAATTGATCAAGATCCTCAAGAAAAGGGGCTCCTAAAGTGTTGAGTCGCCACCGTGCATGAGCTGGGTAAAAACATAGTAGACATAGTAACTCTGACAGGTTTGATTGAAAGGGAGACCTGATTTTCTAGCATTTTGCCCTAGTTAACAGTGACCTGTAAGTAAACCTACTAAAAGACTGATATCTCTACGGGGTAACACAATGAGCACAGAAAGAACTCAGTAACAGTTTATATGATGTTAACGATATGCGCAGATTATTTAGGTATTCCGAGCCCCCTTTCTGACTAGCTCGTCTGATCTTCAATTGCCGTTAAACAGCTTTAAATCCTCAAAGATGTATAAAACTACATTACTTAGCTAGTAAAACCTGAATGCATTAGGTATATAATAACCTAATCTATTGTAATATGTTTACATTTACATCTTGAGAGACGTTACAAATTATCTTATATATGGTATAAAAATGAATCGCAAAATAAGTTGGTAAGCGCATAACTCAAACGCCTGGACCAATTTGGTCAATTCTTCTTTTTAAATGTTCGTTGAAGTCCAAGGATGGTTTTTACGGCGAGAAAAAAAATTGAATTATTGCTATTCAATAAAGTTCTATATAAAAATGAATCGAAAAATGTGTTGTTGGTAAGCACATAACTCAACAACGTCTGGACCAATTTGGTCAATTCTTTTTCTTAAATGTTCGTTGAAGTCCAAGGATGGTTTTTACGGCAAGAAAAAAGTTGAATTATTGCTATTCAATAAAGTTCATATTACATTACACTTACTCACTGTTGTCTAAGCAACATCAACAGTATTTCAAAAATTTCAAATTTTAAATATAATAATTAAATACTGTCATTAATATATGAGCTGTAAATAATTTAAATACATACTAATATTTTACTGAGTTTTCTTTTTATATCGTGTTTTGTGCATGTGACACAATTTATTTTCGATATGCCTCCTGTACGACGATGTAATATAGGTAGAAGAACCCGAAATGCTACAAACCAAACTAATTCCCGATCTAATCATACTGCACAAGAACGTGACGACCGAAATGAACTTGAAAGAATTTGGATATCACAAACGCGTGAAGAGTAAGCGCGAGATCAACTCATAATCGTGCAAGTTTGAATCGAGCTGTTTTCAGTTTCAAGTTCATGGAAGAGAAGATACTTTGGTCATCCGAGCTCAACCCCACACACCAGGGTGACTGTTCTGTTCAGAAGATTTTTTTGCTCCGACTATAAAATAGGTAGGAACAAAAAACTGCCACATTCCAAATCTTTTTGACAGAACGAAGTCTGTCGGGTCCGCTAGTTTTTAATAAAAATACTTGAAAGGATATGGTGGCAGTTAAAATATTTGATCCATGATCTAAATGAGTACCGATGCGAAAAGACTTTTCATAAGTTATTATGATAACATAAATAGAAACTTTGATCCAAAATAAATAGAATTGCGTAGTTACATAAATTCTTTTATATAATATAATATATATAATATAATAATTTAACAAATAAATTCTATTAGCGTCGTTAATTTATTAAATTATTTGCAATGTACAAAAATTGTTTGGTTTGAACATATAGCAGATTTTTTACTGTGCAAATCCTGAAAAGGATGAACTGCATTTAAAATTATTTTAGAAAATATTTTTCATCAAGTGCAAGTAAAATATATATCAAATAATACATCATTGGAAATTTAACAACAATGGAAGTTTGAAGTTTTACAGAAATTCCGTTCGATTATAAGCAAGGTCTCTGAAAACCCAGCACTGACGGAAACATTGAAAAGTATACTAATTTGTATTAATGATCATCGAATAAAAATGAAAACAGACTGAGACTGAGACTCTGGTTGTTTTGCTGGAGTGCATTCGAAGAAAATTGCATACAGCGTTTCACACGTTATTTGCCCGTTTTGGCTGACTTTGAATCAAAAATCCAATCCTTAAATGTTTATAAAACTCTATTAGAACGGTTTATAGAAAATAAAATCAATTTTCATATTCATTTTTGTTGATGCTATAAGATAGTGACCCAGTTTTAAACTCCAGAATAAACAACAAGATAGATGGAAAATTGTACAAGTGTTTCAGTTCTTACAAAGACAGTTCTGTTAGACGATAAAGTAAAGGTTTCATGATTACCATGAAAAGGATTGTTTAATAAAGGGAGAATATAATATACCGTTATGAACGTTATGAATTGAGTAGTTGACTTCACGTAATATTTAATTTTAATTTACGATTGTAAAAATTTAGTTATATTTTGTTTGTATTTTAAATAGATTCTTAACTAACTCAATCCATCCGTGTGATATTCATACTACACAATCTTCATATAAAGGGGTTGAAATAGGCTATATTATTCTTACTTAGAGTTCAGATTAAGGGTAGTCATCATACAAAATAATAGCGTTCATATTTTCAGATCAGATTTTCTTTTTAACCGCTGAATCGATTTATCTGATATTTATATCCTGAATATTCTATATAAAAAATGCTGTATATGCTAACTATAAATATAGCATAAATATATAATATAAATATATGTAATTTACATATATATAGTATATTAGTATAAATATATGCTAATGTGTTTATCTAAAGTTACCTTAATTAAAAATGGTTAAAATTGAATTTTTTTTTTTGAAATTGGTAATTTGAATGTCTACCACCTAAAAGTTCTTAATGTAAGGTTCCTTATGAAGACGCGGACTAATAACACATTCTAATTGCCTTATTTAGATGATTTTGTTCCTTGTAGACACTAATGAGCATGATTTACCATATAAAATGCTTTCATATAAATGAGCTCATTATCAATAAATCAGCTCATTTACAAAGGACCACAAAGGACCTTTAAAAAAAAACACTGAGGATGTAAGCATTTAATAATTTTTTTGTTTTAATTAATTGAATATGTAATTGATATATAAAATATATATAAATTATTTAATAAATCAATTACATATTTAGATGTTTTGTGTTATATATTATTAAGTGAAATTCATAAAAATTATATCAGCTGTATAAATGAGCTCATTCGAATATGAACGTTCACTAATTAATATAAATGAGCCAGTCTTATTGTACTATAACACTAACAAATAAATTAATTGCTTTATGATTGCCGATGAATTGATTAACTAATCATTAGTATATTTTTTCGAAGTTGGAACATCAAATACACTCTATAAAAGACTCAGGTGGTATATAAATGTTTTTACTTTGTGATTAAAATTAGGATTTTAAACAAACATTAACATTTATTTTAAATGTTGTATCCATAGTATTTAGATATTTTGATTTAGTCTTCTTCTCATAGAAATATTTTTTAATTAATCTAATAGGAAAGAATTAAAAATAAGATTTACGGGTAACTTTAACTAATGTTCCAGCTTCGATTAGTTTACCGTTTTGTGCTCTATTTTAGAATTTATCGCTTAATCGTTCTCTTACTAAATTAGTTTTTGGTTTTAGTTAGTGCATTGTACTATTAAATAAATTTTTGTATAATCTGTATATATACTTTACATTTGTTTACAATTACCGTGCAAATCTATGGTTTTGATATATACAATTAATATATTTACAGCAATTAGCACATTTTCAAATATCAGTTGATGCATTTCAGGTTATTTACAATTTAATATAACTAAATTCAATTTAATATAACTAATTATTTTAGATATTTATATTCTTTACATATATGTATTTCTACTGTTCTGCGGTTTCCATTCACTTGTTAAGCAAGATATGCATAATAAAAATGGATGTGAGATTTATAAATGCCACTCTGTATGCAGAGAATTATTAACAGCTGACGTGTTATTATTGACGAGAAACAAGAGTCGTCAGCAATTTGTTTATAGCGATTTTATTGATACTATTGCATGTGGAATATGTTTTAGCAATTTAATGTGGTTTTATGTACATATAAGATTTTATATTAATATAATAAAATAAATATATAAATTAAAAATAAAAATGAAACTACCAGAACAGAGTAGATTTGTAATATATGCATTAGGTATATTCCTTTGTTACTTTTTATATGGCATTGTGCAGGAGAAAATTACACGCGGCCGGTACGGAACAGAAGTAAATGAAGATGGAAGCATTGGTGCACGTTTTACGTATGCACTAGCCTTAGTCTGGGTACAATGTTTTTGTAATTTTATTTTTGCTAAAGGTGAGGAATATTCGTAAATTAAACGCATTAAATACTTAATGAATTTGTATCTAAATTATTATAAAAAGGTATGCTCACTGTGAAACCACAAAAAGAGGACACAACACATATAGGCTATTACGTTATAAGTGCTTTAACTTATTTATTGGCGATGGTATCTTCTAATATGGCTTTGCGTTGGGTACCATATCCAACACAAGTTGTTGGTAAAGCCGCAAAACCGATTCCTGTTATGATTTTAGGTGTTCTAATTGGGCGCAAATCATATTCTTGGATACGTTATACTTGTGTTTTTACAATTGTTGTAGGAGTTATTTTGTTTATGTATAATGAAAGTAAAATTTCAAATACACCGGCAGAAAAAACTGGACTTGGTGAATTATTATTATTTTTAAGTCTTTCAATGGATGGTTTACTTGGTGCTGTTCAAGAACGTATGCGCGCCTCTAGTTCACCTTCCGGGCAACAAATGATGCTAGCAATGAATTTTTGGAGCACTTTAATGCTTGGATTTGCCATGATTGTTACAGGTAAATAAATAAGTTCAATTTCCATAATCGATTTAAACGAATTAATGTAACGTATTTTTAGGAGAAGGCAAGGAATTTGTGTATTTTGCTACATGTCATCCTGAACTTTGTATTCATTTAGCGATGCTTGCACTTTGTGGTGCGTTAGGTCAATTATTTATATTTTTAATGGTAGCTGGATTTGGACCGTTAGCTTGTTCTGTTGTAACGACAACAAGAAAATTCTTTACGGTACTTTGTTCCGTATTGTTATTCGGTAATGTGTTAATAGCAAGACAATGGTTTGGAGCAGTTTTAGTGTTTGCTGGTCTTTTTGCGGATATGATATATGGAAAAAAAACTATAAATAACAAGAAATCTGTAGCGAATAAAGAAAAAGAAACTGAAGAAAAGAAAAAATTGATTTCTTAAATGTTATAAAGACAAAACTAGTTTTGTTCGTATTTATTTGCAGCAGTAAATTGTATAAAAAAATAATTTACATCTTTGAAAATAGTTAAATGCAAAGCCTAATAATAAATTAAATTGGCTTGTTGTTTAAATTAATAGTAAATTAACAACAGTAAATTAATTTCATTAAATGATTATTTATCTATGTATTGGACTTAATTTAAAATTTACTGTATGTTCGAAAATGTATTTTTATTTTTATATTTATATATTGTATATATGTATATGCATGTTACTACTTCGGGTTTAAAAATCATTTAATTTCTTTGCTTAAATTAAGCGAACACTTTACTTTTAATACAATATATTAAAAATAATAATAATATATATATAGAAAAACTTTTACAAAAGTATAACCAATTACTTAAGAATCAAACTCTGAATTTATATAATATATTGATAACAATCCATTTTAAATGAATTTATGTAATAATAATAATATTATTATATTTTAAAACATGATAAACTACTGTAAACTTTATATAAATGCGCGTATTTATTAGTTAAACAAGTATATTAAATTTAAATGTTTATATAAATATGATTGTATATAAAAAACTAACTTGCTCTAATTATGTACTAATATTCCAATAAATCCCATAATTTTATAATTCATAGAAAATTTTGATAATGCTCGTGTTAAGTTAATTATAACCATGTGAAAGGAGTAATTCCAATAAACCCCTCAATTTCTTAATCTAAATTCTTTAACAATTCTTGTGTTAAGTGAATTATAACCGTGTGAAAAAAGAGGAGTTAATCTTTTTGAAAAAATCACAATTGTTGTGCTTATTATGGTTTATAATGTGAATTTTATAATTAATGTAAACTATATATAAAATTCAAAATTGAAACCAGTGATTTACTTGAGCTGGCTGAGGAGGCAATTATATCACAACAAGCCAGCCACAGACATATGTGATTCCCAATATTTGGTGCAATCATAATAAGTACAGTGATAATAATAGTAAATAATAGTAAAATAATAATAATAATAATATATATTCACTTTTTTGTGAAAAAATATTCTGGGAGGGGCGTAAATTTTCAGTGTTAGTCAAGATTAAAGTACCAAAAAAATTCTATACTAGTAAACTTGTAGTCATAAACATATTTATGTTTCAAAGATATATATAAATGCCAGAAAAGCTTATGGGTTTTAGAAAGGGCGTCAACTTTCAGCGTAAGCTGACATTAAAATGATCAGTCTTTCTGTATAAATAGATTTTTAATATACATGGGCTGACGTATTATTATATTATTTTTGGTTACTATTTCCGGAAATTTAATTTATTTTCGTATCTACGATAATTCTTTCTTAGGCATTATTTATTATATATAAGTATCTCTTTAACTCCATAATATATGGAAAATAGAAATTGAAGCAAAGTTATAAATTTATGGATAAACTAATGAAGTTATATGTTTGGGTTCGAATAAAGTTTAATGATATTTATTTGTTAGGTTCAGTTTTTAATAGGTAACCAAGATTTAATTATTACTTTGTTATAAAACAAAGACCCAAGAGGCCACTGAAGAAAATGCTTATATACGATAATATTTAAAACATATTTTTTATATGTACATATCTATTAAATATACACATACATAGAATACACCATATGAATAATACACCAACCAGTAACCATAGTCGATAAAGATATGATGTGGTTAATGACCTATATCAATATAAATTTTTTAAAATGAACACAAAGTAGCATGCGATAAATTTAATATGTAAATTAGTGATAAGTTCTTTTTATAGTAGTAGCATGCTATAAAAATAACATTCGTATTTTAATATTATATATACACATAATATGGTTTAATATTTATTAAACCATCCTACGTAGTGAAGAAACACAAATGTATAAATATACGTTGTTCAATTTATATAAACATATATAATAAATAATCTAATCTAAAATTTGTTTTTTTTTTTAATATATTACAAGAACACAATTGGCTATCTATCATGCATATATTTTATAATTTTGATATATTGTCGAAAATTTTTTCAATATGGCAGTGCTATTCCTGCGCACTCGCAAATAAACTAAAAAAGGTTATCAGACAAAAATAACAAAAACAAACCCAAATGAGATTTTCTCATTTAAGGTTTTCCTTTATTCGGTCCGTTGTCGTCATCGCGAGTTTTATAAATTTTCATATTAAATTAACTTCCTGCTGTGAAATTCCTAAATTACAAGCGAGATTTCTCTAAAAGCTGTTCTAGTAAAACATAAGCTAACTATATTATAAAATATAGTACTGGCAGCTTCCGAGTAATAATTAAAATAAATTCTAAATTATGTAAAAAATCGTTATTTCAAAAAGTGCAGTGCGTATTGTGTGAGTGTGTATGTTCATTTCTGTTATAAAAGCGGTTCAAAAATATGGTCTTCCCTTTTCCAAATTTAAATAAAAATTAAATTTAAAATAATTGTAATTAAATTGGAAAATATAAATAAGCTTAAATAAAATATATGAAAATTATATAAAAATTGAAAATAAAAAAAAATTAGGAAATGCATGTGCAATTTAAAGAATGTGCTTAACCGTCACCCCAGCAAGAGCGAAAAATCATTAAAAGTGAATTTGGTTCAGATTTGCTCTGAGGCAGTGTTCTTTATGTTTCTAGCAATGTTTTCATTATTTTTATTGTTTTCATTGTAAAATTCAAAGCAAGGCACAAATTGTGCTGGTTTTACGTGCAATACACAGTTTTTAAATTTTTGCACTCAAAATCATAAAAATCAAAAACATGTAAGTGAAGCTAAATAAAGTAAAAGTTATTCATATCTGCTGTGTGATGTGATTCCTATGTGACGTAATACACTCCTTTGGGCATGCACATGGATAAAGTTTTTATATAGATTTATTGCACCGGTTAGTGTTTTACAAATATTTGTGCTGCTTCTTCCGTTTCCAAAGCAATTAGCGGAAACCGGTATCGAGATGTGTATGTGTTTGTTTGCCCTTATGTGCGTGTGGCTTAAGTTTTGCTTCGCGGTTTCGTGAAGTTCAAATTTTATTTTCAGTGCGAAATTCATTATATAGTTTTGTTAATTTAATATTTTTTTTTAGAAATTCGTGAATTGGCTTATTAATAAATTTATTACGTATATAAAAAAAAAAATCTATCTATCTGTCTGTCTGTCTGTCTTTTATTAAGTGTGTTTAATTAACAATATTCACAACAGTAACTTGATGTTAACAAATAAATAAATAATGGTATTATTAAATGAAGAAATAATATAAAATAATTATATAAATATTAATTTCCGATAATTATTCATGAAAATTTGTATGTTTTTAGTATTTAAAGTAAATATTAGATTTTGGAAATTTTAATATAAATAATGTACATTTAGGACATCTGCAAATATTTTGTTACAAATTTAAAGCGCTGTTAAGAGCTCTTATGTCAATTTTAAGTAACGTAGGTCACCTGATTAATTTTGCTAAGTCGTTTGCTGTGATTAATGAAGTGGGACTCCCTAAGAAGCTAAAGGATAAAGGGCAACTAAGCAAATGAATCAAATAATATTTTACGAAATACGTAAATAAATATATAATACTAATAAATAATAAATAAAAAAAAAGTGTAATACAGTAAAACTTTCATAACTTGAAGTACCATTTTGCAAAGAAAAGGTTCGAGTTAAAGAATTTTATATTTCTTTTTTTTTTTAATGAAACTAGAATTACATTTTAAGATATTTATTTATTTTAAAATAAATACAGCAAAGAAGTTATAGTCAAGTAAAATATTTCGAAATTAGGGTTTGGGATTTAAATTTTTTTTCTTATTTTCAGTAAAAAAGATTCTAATGTATTCCAAGTGATCATCAGTTGTAGTGTCATTCATTTGCAGAAAATAAATTAAGAATTGCTGATGAACAATTTCAGCCACCGAACCCTCATCATCACTTTCCGTTGCGCTTAGAATCGGATCCATTAATTCAGAGCAATAATGCTTAATAACATCGACATCTGTAGGAAAGCTTAATAAATAAATTTCATTATCACGCTCAATATATAAGAATAGCATTGGAAGTTGTTTTATTTACTTTACTTTTACATCAATTCACAAGTCATCTTGTTCTTTCCATGTAAAAATTTGGTGAAATCCAACTTTTTTATGCCAGCGACTGGTATTTGTACAAAGAAGGAACATAAGAAAGATAAAATTAAACATTTGGTTTGGAAAAAGGGACTTCCCCTAACACCAAAATGAATTCATGCCTAAAACAAAAATTCGACTCATAGAATGTTCCTATTCCATTCCATATTCCTATTGGCACTTGACTATATTTTCGAGTTATGGAAGCAGAATTATGTATATGCAATTTGCTCTGTAAAACCTTGTTGTGCTCTTTTTATATAGTTCGAGTTATAGAAACTTCGAGTTATGGAAGTATGAATGTATTTATATTGAAACAGACAAAAAATAAATAAATGAGTAAATAAATAAAATAATAAATTAAAAAATATCTAAATAAATACATAACACTAATAAGTAATAAATGAAAAAAAAAAAAATAATTTATAAAGAAATCATTTCTTAGAATTTACAATCTTGACGACTTTCCAAAATCTCATGCAATAATTGAGACGAGGAAGCACGATTTAGTAATGTTCTGGAAATAAGGTAGTTTAGAGTAGTCCTATTTAGGAATGTAGACTTATTATTATATTTTCTTTAAGCAATTAAACAAAAAGTAGAGATAGTGTAGAGCTATCAACATTAGAAATAAGATTAGATACATGATTATATTTGTATATATGATGATGGATATTTGGCAATAGTCGAAACAGCTTTTATGGTTAGCCAAAAATCAATTAATTAATAAATAAATTAATCAATAATAAAGTCTTATTGTTGTAATTCAATACTGTTCGTACTCTCTATTGTTGTATAGCCTTTCTATTGAAAACAATAGTTTATATTAAGAATTTAGTTTCTTTCGTCAAAACGGACGTTAAGAATCAATTTAATAACAAAATAAGTAATACTTTTTCCAGAATTTTCTCATATGGAATATTTTTTTTT